CGCACTCCGCTGGTTCGACAACATCAACTCAGGCCGCCACCGTGAACCACCGCACTCCGCTGGTTCGACAACATCAACTCATGCCGCCACCGTGAACCACCGCACTCCGCTGGTTCGACAACATCAACTCGGGCCGCCACCGTGAACCACCGCACTCCGCTGGTTCGACAACATCAACTCGGGCCGAGAGCCTCGCTCGCAGAGTGAAGACCTCCGCTTAACCGCGGCACGGGGGGGTAAGGCCCACTGAGCTATATAGCTCTTTGTTAGAGGTGGCCTGGACACAAATTGTACCTCAACGAAGTGGTTTGTCACGTGGAAATGTATCGCAGCTAAATACTCTAAACGCATGCTCATTCTAAATGTGGAGGGAAAAACCGGAGAGAGAGACACGCAAACTTCAAATATTCAGCAGGCATCAGGGTTGTGATAGAACCCACGACCTCCTGTAGACCAAGCGAGGGAGTTAACATCTCGTCAGGGTCGTGATAAAGCCCACGACCTCCTGTAGACCAGGCGAGGGAGTTAACATCTCGTCAGGGTCGTGATAGGACCCACGACCTCCTGTATACCAGGCGAGGTAGTCAACATCTCGTCAGGGTCGTGATAGGACCCAAGACCTCCTGTAGACCAGGCGAGGGAGTTAACATCTCGTCAGGGTCGTGATAAAACCCACGACCTCCTGTATACCAGGCGAGGGAGTTAACATCTCGTCAGGGTCGTGATAGGACCCACGACCTCCTGTAGACCAGGCGAGGGAGTTAACATCTCGTCAGGGTCGTGATAGGACCCACGACCTCCTGTATACCAGGCGAGGTAGTCAACATCTCGTCAGGGTCGTGATAGGACCCAAGACCTCCTGTAGACCAGGTGAGGGAGTTAACATCTCGTCAGGGTCGTGATAGAACCCACGACCTCCTGTAGACCAGGCGAGGGAGTTAACATCTCGTCAGGGTCGTGATAGGACCCAATACCTCCTGTAGACCAGGCGAGGGAGTTAACATCTCGTCAGGGTCGTGATAGGACCCACGACCTCCTGTATACCAGGCGAGGGAGTTAACATCTCATCAGGGTCGTGATAGGACCCACGACCTCCTGTAGACCAGGCGAGGGAGTTAACATCTCGTCAGGGTCGTGATAGGACCCACGATCTCCTGTAGACCAGGCGAGGGGGTTAACATCTCGTCAGGGTCGTGATAGGACCCACGACCTCCTGTATATCAGGCGAGGGAGTTAACATCTCATCAGGGTCGTGATAGGACCCACGACCTCCTGTAGACCAGGCGAGGGAGTTAACATCTCGTCAGGGTCGTGATAGGACCCACGACCTTCTGTAGACGAGGCGAGGCAGTCAACATCTCGTCAGGGTCGTGATAAGACCCACGACCTCCTGTAGACCATGCGAGGGAGTTAACATCTCGTCAGGGTCGTGATAGGACCCACGACCTCCTGTATACCTGGCGAGGTAGTCAACATCTCGTCGCCGTTGCGCCCACACACAGCCTAAAAAGACAAAGATCCCCCGTATAGCCCTCACAAAATGTAGGGGAAAGTGCTGTTAGCGAGCACATATGAAGGCCGACACGGCACACGAGGGGGTGGGTGGCCAGCACCACGCCCGACCGCCTTTGTCTCCCCAATGGCGATGTTTCCACATCGCACCGGGTACTCATTAGAGGCTGCGTCGACCGAGGGGAGGCCCAGGACCGGTTCAGATCATCGTCAGTGGTGTTGGCCGTGAGCGGGAATCGAACCCGTGTGGCCAGGTTCGTTGCGCAGCGTAGCGCTAACCGCTACACTACCGCTCCCCACACACCGCCTGACACACACACACATACTATCTGAAACAGACAATGATCCCCCGTCTCGCCTGAACATGGATGAGCATTGTCACCTTAGCGTGGTTTAGACGTCGGGGCTTGTAGAGTAAATGGACGCTGTTGACTCGGAGAGTGATTTTAAAATTCACATGAAGCCTCAGCTTGATTCATGGTCGCGAAAGCCGACGTGTTAAACCTCAGCTGGATGTCGACCACGACGTGGAGGATAGCGCCGGGAGGGAGGTAGTGGAGATCCGTGAGGAGCCCTCCTCTCAGCCAGGGCTCCGCTCACGCAAGTCCTGAGCATGCAGGGACCGGGTTGTGGATGCGCGTGTACGAGCTTCGTGAGCACAGGCAGAGTGCACACGTGACGCGGTGCACACGTGACGCGGTGCACGCGTGACGCGGTGTGCGCACAGCGGTCGACTGGACACACGTGGCGTGCCAACACACACGCGACGCCTCACTGATGTGTGTCTGTGTGTGTGTGTCTGTGTGTGTCTGTGTGTCTTTGTGTCTTTGTGTGTGTGTCTGTGTGTGTGTCTGTGTGTGTCTTTGTGTCTCTGTGTGTGTGTCTGTGTGTGTCTGTGTGTGTGTCTGTGTGTGTGTCTGTGTGTGTGTGTCTCTGTGTGTGTGTCTGTGTGTGTCTGTGTGTGTCTGTGTCTGTGTGTGTCTGTGTGTCTGTGTGTGTGTGTCTGTGTGTGTGTGTGTGTGTGTATGTCTGTGTGTGTGTCTTTGTGTCTCTGTGTGTGTGTCTTTGTGTCTGTGTGTGTCTTTGTGTCTCTGTGTGTGTGTCTTTGTGTCTGTGTGTGTCTTTGTGTCTCTGTGTGTGTGTCTTTGTGTCTGTGTGTGTCTTTGTGTCTGTGTGTGTGTCTGTGTGTCTGTGTGTGTCTGTGTGTCTGTGTGTGTCTGTGTGTGTCTGTGTGTGTCTGTGTGTGTGTGTCTCTGTGTGTGTGTCTGTGTGTGTCTGTGTGTCTTTGTGTCTGTGTGTCTTTGTGTCTCTGTGTGTGTGGTGTGTGTGTGTGTGTGTCTGTGTGTGTGTCTGTGTGTGTGTGTGTGTGTGTGTCTGTGTGTGTGTGTGTCTGTGTGTGTGTCTGTGTGTCTGTGTGTGTTGTGTGTCTTGTGTCTTGTGTCTGTTGTGTTGTGTGTGTCTGTGTGTGTGTGTGTGTGTGTGTCTGTGTGTGTCTGTGTGTCTGTGTGTGTCTGTGTGTCTTTGTGTCTGTGTGTCTTTGTGTCTCTGTGTGTGTGTGTCTGTGTGTCTGTGTGTGTGTCTGTGTGTGTGTCTGTGTGTGTCTGTGTATCTGTGTGTGTCTTTGTGTCTCTGTGTGTGTGTCTTTGTGTCTGTGTGTCTTTGTGTGTGTCTTTGTGTCTGTGTGTGTGTCTTTGTGTCTGTGTATCTTTGTGTCTTTGTGTCTGTGTGTCTTTGTGTCTGTGTGTGTGTGTGTGTCTTTGTGTCTGTGTGTGTGTCTCTGTGTGTGTGTTTGTGTCTGTGTGTCTTTGTGTCTGTGTGTGTCTGTGTGTGTGTGTCTGTGTGTCTTTGTGTCTCTGTGTGTCTCTGTGTGTGTTGTCTGTGTGTGTGTCTTTGTGTCTGTGTGTCTTTGTGTGTCTTTGTGTCTCTGTGTGTATGTGTCTTTGTGTGTGTGTCTTTGTGTCTGTGTGTCTGTGTGTCTTTGTGTCTGTGTGTGTCTTTATGTTTATGTGTGTCTTTGTGTCTATGTGTGTCTGTGTGTCTTTGTGTCTGTGTGTCTTTGTGTGTCTGTGTGTCTGTGTGTCTTTGTGTTTTTGTGTCTGTGTGTCTTTGTGTCTCTGTGTGTCTTTGTGTCTGTGTATCTTTGTGTCTTTGTGTCTGTGTGTCTTTGTGTCTGTGTGTGTCTGTGTGTCTTTGTGTCTGTGTCTCTGTGTGTCTCTGTGTGTGTCTTTGTGTCTGTGTGTCTTTGTGTCTGTGTGTGTCTCTGTGTGTGTGTCTGTGTGTCTTTGTGTCTCTGTGTGTCTCTGTGTGTGTGTCTGTGTGTGTCTTTGTGTCTGTGTGTCTTTGTGTGTCTTTGTGTCTCTGTGTGTATGTGTCTTTGTGTGTGTGTCTTTGTGTCTGTGTGTCTGTGTGTCTTTGTGTCTTTGTGTCTGTGTGTCTGTGTGTCTTTGTGTCTATGTGTGTCTGTGTGTCTTTGTGTCTGTGTGTCTTTGTGTCTGTGTCTTTGTGTGTGTGTGTCTGTGTGTCTTTGTGTCTTTGTGTCTGTGTGTCTGTGTGTCTTTGTGTCTCTGTGTGTGTCTTTGTGTCTGTGTGACTTTCTGTCTCTGTGTGTGTGTCTTTGTGTCTGTGTGTCTTTGTGTCTGTGTGTCTTTGTGTCTGTGTGTGTGTCTGTGTGTGTGTCTGTGTGTCTTTGTGTCTGTTTGTGTGTCTGTGTGTATGTGTCTTTGTGTGTGTATCTTTGTGTCTGTGTGTGTATCTTTGTGTTTGTGTGTGTGTCTGCGTGTCTGTGTGCGCACTCTACATTAAACTTTTAAGCAATCGGCACCGCCGCGTAGGCAAATGCATCCACGAGAGATGGTGGCCACCGTGCACGACTATCGCTAATGCATCGAGTCTCGTGTCAACGTCACGGACATGCACTATTCGCGATGTGACAGCTCGCAATGCAGAGTCGGCTGGGCGGGACGTCCCCGTACCCCTCCAACTCTGCGCTGCAGCGGCAGCAGCAGCGGCAGCAGCAGCGGCCTCTCTCTCAGGCCGAGGGGTCTCCAGCGAGACGGCGCCGCCCGTGTGGGGGGCGTCTGCGGTGGTTGTTGACTAAAGGAAGAAGACGCCGAGCCGAGCCTTCAACAGAATCGGGGGGGGGCGAGTGTCGGTAGGTAGCGGGACACCGATCAAGGTCGGCACCACACGCGAGGGCGTGGGGTGGCCAGCCGTCACGCCCGGCCGCCTTTGTCTCCCAAATGCTAACCCGGACAGTCCGGTAACTGGCAGGAATCAAATAAATTTGTACCGAGATTTGGTGGTTGTGGAACTTTACTGTTTACACGACGCTCCACCGCGTTCATGAGACCCCAGTGCACGGGCTTGGTCTCTACAGACGAGGAGGTGGTGGTGGTGGTGGCGGTGCACGTGTCGCTGTTGGTGTTGGTGTCGCTGTTGGTGTCAATGTTGGTGCAGTGGGCGCTCAGCGGCGCGTCCCGCGTACTCACAGCCGCATGCAGCGCGCCGAGGAGGAAGAGCAGCAGCAGCAGAGCTCAGCAGCAGCAGTCACTGCTGCTGCTGTTGCGACAAGAAGACGCGGGTCCTGCGTCCGTGGAGACCGGCATGGGGGTGGTGGTGGTGGTGGTGGCTCCTGCACCACGAGGAGCCGGGGTCCCCGTCGAGGAGACGTCCGAGTCCCGGGGCCCCCAGGGGTTGGTGGAGCAGAGCCAAAGCGGCCACGCGAGCCCCGTAGCAGCCGCGTGAGCGCAGCAACAGCGGCAGCGGCTTCTCGACTCCCGCACGCGACTCTCACCTGAGCCAGCGACGCACGCGCACACAAAGACCCCCGTATAGCGCTAACGCACCAATGGGGCAAGTGCTGATAATGAGCACACGTATGAAAGCCGCTAGCACGGCACACGAGGGGGTGGGTGGCCAGCACCACGCCCAGCCGCCTTTGTCTCTTTAGTTACGATGTTTACACACCGCACCAGGTACTAATTTGAGGCTGAGTCGACCTAGGGGAGGCCCAGGACCGATTCAGATAATCGTCACTGGTGTGGCCCGTGAGTAAGAATCGAACTCGAGTGGCCGGGTTCGTAGCGCAGCGCAACTGTTAAACCACTGCGCCACCGCTCCCAACACCCACACACATACACACAAATATACGGACGCATACAAAGACATACAAACACACGCACACATACCAGACACATACAAAGACCGACATAGACAAAGACATACACACACGGACACACACAGAGACACCGGCATACACACGGACACACACACACAGACACACGGACACAGACACACACACAGACACACACACGGATACACACAGACACACGCACAGACATACGGACACACACAGACACACGGACACACACAGACACACACACAGACACACGGACACACACACAGACACACACAGACACACGGACACACACAAACACACGTCACCTGCGCTGTCTCCGCGAGTCGAGCCTAGCGAGTGGAGCGCTCCGCGCTGCGCCCCCTCTCCCCTCCCCGCCAGGGCCACCACCACCCTGACCACCACCCTCACCACCACCACCCTGACCACCACCACCACCACCACCCTCACCACCACCACCCTCACCACCACCACCACGAGCAGCAGCGGCAGCGCTCTCTCCCTGCAGAGCGCCGTGCCGCGATAGCCGCAGCGTCGCCAGCATCCCGGGGCTCTTACGCCCTGACTCACGCTGGGACTCTCACGTGGCAGGACTCCGTGTTCATCACGCTCGGGCGGCCTGCCCAGCGACCACTGAGATCTCATACATACAGCCAGCGACTCTCAGAGAGGACTCGCACAGCCAGCGAGGCTCACAGAGACATTGTACATACAGCCAGCGACTCTCAGAGAGATCTCGCACAGCCAGCGAGTCTCACAGAGACCTCGCACAGCCAGCGAGTCTCAGAGAGATCTCGTACAGCCAACGAGTCTCAGAGAGACCTCGCACAGCCAGCGAGTCTCAGAGAGACCTCGCACAGCCAGCGAGTCTCAGAGAGACCTCGCACAGCCAGCGACTCTCACAGACACCTCGCACAGCCAGCGACTCTCACAGAGACCTCGTACAGCCAGCGAGTCTCACAGAGACCTCGCACAGCCAGCGAGTCTCAGAGAGAACTCGCATAGCCAGCGAGTCTCACAGAGATCTCGCACAGCCAGCGAGACTCACAGAGACCTCGCACAGCCAGCGACTCTCTCAGAGAGATCTCGCACAGCCAGCGACTCTCACAGAGACCTCGCACAGCCAGCGAGGCTCACAGAGATCTCGCACAGCCAACGAGTCTCACAGAGACCTCGCACAGCCAGCGACTCTCACAGAGACCTCGCACAGCCAGCGAGTCTCAGAGAGACTTCGCACAGCCAGCGACTCTCACAGAGACCTCGCACAGCCAGCGACACTCACAGAGACCTCGCACAGCCAGCGAGTCTCAGAGAGAACTCGCACAGCCAGCGAGTCTCACAGAGACCTCGCACAGCCAGCGAGTCTCAGAGAGATTTCGCACAGCCAGCGAGTCTCAGAGAGATCTCGCACAGCCAGCGAGTCTCACAGAGACCTCGCACAGCCAGCGAGTCTCAGAGAGACCTCGCACAGCCAGCGAGCTCACAGAGTGCTCGCACAGCCAGCGAGTCTCACAGAGACCTCGCACAGCCAACGAGTCTCACAGAGACCTCGCACAGCCAGCGAGTCTCACAGAGACCTCGCACAGCCAGCGAGTCTCACAGAGACCTCGCACAACCAGCGAGTCTCAGAGAGACCTCGCACAGTCAGCGAGTCTCAGAGAGACCTCGCACAGCCAGCGAGTCTCACAGAGAACTCGCACAGCCAGCGAGTCTCACAGAGATCTCGCACAGCCAGCGAGTCTCACAGAGATCTCGCACAGCCAGCGAGTCTCAGAGACCTCGCACAGCCAGCGACTCTCACAGAGACCTCGTTCAGCCAGCGAGTCTCAGAGAGCTCGCACAGTCAGCGAGTCACACAGAGACCTCGCACAGCCAGCGAGCCTCACAGAGACCTCGCACAGCCAGCGGCTCTCAAAGAGACCTCGCACAGCCAGCGAGTCTCACAGAGACCTCGCACAGAGAACTCGCACAGCCAGCGAGTCTCAGAGAGAACTCGCACAGCCAGCGAGTCTCACAGAGACCTCGCATAGCCAGCGACTCTCACAGAGACCTTGTACAGCCAGCGAGTCTCAGAGAGATCTCGTACAGCCAGCGAGTCTCACAGAGATCTCGCACAGCCAGCGAGTCTCACAGAGACCTCGCACATCCAGTGAGGCTCACAGAGATCTCGCACAGCCAGCGAGTCTCAGAGACCTCGCACAGCCAGCGAGTCTCAGAGAGACCTCGCACAGCCAGCGAGTCTCAGAGAGATCTCGTACAGCCAGCGACTCTCACAGAGACCTCGTACAGCCAGCGAGTCTCAGAGAGACCTCGCACAGCCAGCGAGTAACAGAGAGTCCTCGCACAGCCAGCGACTCTCACAGAGACCTCGTACAGCCAGCGAGTCTCAGAGAGACCTCGCACAGCCAGCGAGTGTCAGAGAGACCTCGTACCACCAGCGAGTCTCACAGAGACCTCGCACAGCCAGCGAGTCTCAGAGAGATCTCGCACAGCCAGCGAGTCTCAGAGAGACCTCGCACAGCCAGCGAGTCTCAGAGAGACCTCGCACAGCCAGCGAGTCTCACAGAGACCTCGCACAGCCAGCGAGTCTCACAGAGACCTCGAACAGCCAGCGAGTCTCAGAGATCTCGCACAGCCAGCGACCCTCACAGAGACCTCGCACAGCCAGCGAGTCTCAGAGAGATCTCGTACAGCCAGCGAGTCTCACAGAGACCTCGCACAGCCAGCGAGTCTCAGAGAGACCTCGAACAGCCAGCGAGTCTCAGAGAGGTCTCGCACAGCCAGTAAGTCTCACAGAGACCTCGCGAGACAACAGCACTCTTTGAGGGACACGGTGCCACATGGTGAGGAGGTGGGGGGGGCTCAGGCCCCCTAACTTGACAGACCAGGGGAGGGCATAAAAAGACTCCAGCCCCCCACTAAGAATCCGTCACACGTGGCTCTACTTCTAAAGTGAACAGAGGGCAGCAGATCAGTGACGGCGGCATCTCCGTGGAGGGTAAAGCGCGCTCAGCACACGCTACTCGGTTGTGGGAGCTCGAACCCGGACTCCACGGGAAACATCGAACCCAACTCTCCACAACTCGCCAAGGGGGAGCGGAACCGATGCGCTCCGCGGGTTAACAACGAGAGCCGCCTCGCGGCCCCTCGGCTACAGCGCCCCCGCTCAGCATCACTGGGGGGCATCGTCCCTGCCAGCTCCGCCACAGTCAATTGCGCACCCCCCACTCCACAACCACCACCATCAGAGACGGAGCTATAAACTATCCGGGGGGGGGGGGGGCAGAGCGGGCCCGAGATTGCAAACTCTTAAAATTGGGCCCCCAGCGGTAATAATAATAAAAACTAAAACATGAACAGTTTTTTCTCGTAAATATTAATACAGCACTAATGTTGGGAAAGGGGGGGGGGCCCATCGCACCCTCTCCCTTGGATTGACCACTGCCCCCCATTTATAAAAATGTTGGCACCACCCACGAGAACACGTGGGCAGCAGCAGCAGCTGCTGTGAGTGAGGCTGCGAACTCGAATCCCAGCCAGGGTCGTCCACTCGCTCCCTGATCCCCCCGGCATCCACGAGCATCCACGATCATCCACCAAGACAGGATTCTTCATTCCCCCTGCTCCTTCTCATCGGTTCAAGCGCATCGACGGGGTCGACTTCCGATGACGGGGTCGAGTGTCGGCCAGCCACCCCTCTTCCTGCCACGGCTAAGAGGAATTTCTATCTTGGCCCAGGGCCGCAGGTGATGAGCACCGTCCGGCTTTAGTCGAGGCAGCAATCGTGGACCCTGCTCCCTGGCTCAGCGGAGCGCCACGTTGCTTGCGTTTTCTCGAGATCGGGTTTGCGTACAAATGTCCCGGCTTCATTACAGAGACCGCCGCGTCATTCCACGTGGTTTGATTAATACAGCCCAGAGCATACCACTCATACACAATCTGTTTCCATTTGCTTTGTGAATAATTTATTCAGCTCTGAGCTCTCTACTCAAACCTTTGATTATGGATTTCGTTGGCTGATTGACGTGGGCTCTATTTAGAGAGCGCAGGGTTCGGCAGAGCACGGGTCTCGCTCGTTCAGCTCTACTACTACTATTGTTATTGTTATGGTTATTGTTATTATAATTATTGTTGTTCTAGGTCACCGCCACGATCGCCGCAATTCATTCCACTCAACACTCTCGGGAATAGTATGTATAGTCATCGTCACAAACTGTCTCCCTGCTCGAATGAGCACGCGTGTCGGTGGCCCTCAGCCAATGGTGGACATTCCACATTCCTTTGGCGGGGACGAGGGACTCCGTTGAACAGCCACTGCTGTTTTCTCTCTCAACGTTGTAGTCATTTCATTGCACCGCGGATGGATGATGGTGATGGGCTGAGTTAACCCGTGACCGGGACGTGAACTCACAACCTTTCGATTGCGAGCCACTCGCCGAGCCACCCGGCCGAATGTTTGACGAAGCTTGCTGCATTTGAGCAGATTTTCTGTTTCCATCGCATTCATGTAACTCGGATCGAATCTGATGCTTCACCAGGTCTGTATGAAGCAAGAGCAACAGTGTGACAACACCTTGCGAGCTGATGAGAAATGTCGATGCGGAGAGCACAGAACCCAAGAGAGCGGTGTCCTTCACAACGACAGGCGAGCGACGACGCGGGAAGCCTGCTTTAGGGTTACGTTAACGACGGGTTTTTTTAAATCGAACAACTTTGTGATTTTAGTTTCTCCTCCTCACAACGTGCGTGGCCGCACGGCCACTGGCGTCACGCTCTGCTTCTTGACAACATTTTGATAGTTTTAACTTGGTTTGTTTATTTTTCTCAAA